CCGGTTTTGATCCTAGTTTTGGAGTAGTTTGTTCCCGAGGTCGGTTTTTCCCAGAGTTTGTAGAGGGGTAGGCAGCAGGCGATTAGGAGGACTATGGCGATGCCGGATTCGGATGCCTATTCCTATGGTGAGATTGAGGGTGAATGATGAGGGTGTGGTGTTGTTGCTCAGGTTGGGTTGTGGTGAAGAGGTTGATTGTGTGTTTGAATCGGTTGCTGCTACAGGTGATGAGGTGATTTCTGAGGTACTGGTTGAGCTTATAAGATTTATTGCTGATATGATTGAGGGCGGGGTAGACGTTGTTATTTGACTACTGACTGTATCCATATTTGAGAAATGGTCTTTAGGATACCTCTCGATACGAGTCTAAAACGTGATGCAAGAATGAAGCAGGGTGAAGTCTCAGCAGACAGGAAGGGTGAGAAGAAACAGACAATCGAGTGTTTTAGAGTTGTAGAACCGTATTAGTTGACTTCGTATGCAGGAAGAAAAGAACTACTTCCAGAAGCTGGTATTATGGATTACACCAAGGTTGTGGACCATAATCCACCATTAGGGCGCGTATTGATGGTCTCATTCCTCACATCATCCCAAGAGTGGAGAATGAGAAACTTGAACAAGACTTACTTTGGAGATAGGAAGCATTTTTAGTAGTGCAAAATAATTTATTAACTAGGTCGTGGCAAGGCTTTATGAAAGACCTACTGGTAGATTTTTGGCTCTAGACGGAATTAGGAATAGATATGGCTGATTATCTTTCATTACTCCTATCCTCAGTCGCTCAACTACGAGTTCTTTGTTGGAAGGTTAACTCACTTGAGAATGAAGAAGCCTAGACTAGTTGCTTGCAGGACAGACCTGAGCTTGGATGGAGAATTCCACTCGTAAATAGAGGAAGGCGCGAAGAAGGCAACGATCGCTCGCACATAGGATTTCTGCCAATGTAAGATTATCTTAAGCTTATAATAAAGATTTAATACAGGCCAAGTCAAAGTCAAAGCTTTGACCTCTTCATCAATCAAAATTCAAGTCACGAAGGAATTCTAAAGTGGGCCTACCTGAATTAAATCCTTCTAGCCGCGCGCTTCAAACGATAAAAGCAGAGCCTTTGGATGGTAATAGATTCTAGTAAAGGTTTAGGAATGGAATTCAAAAGTGGTGGTTCTGAAATCTGGTGTATATATATAACCCTCCCTCTCTTCTCCAGTGCGGTGGCTCTTGTAGACTTGAGTAGGATTATTGAAGCATTGCTATATATGATGAATACAGGTACGTGTGTATATATGACTGCACCTCCTATTCGATATCATGCAGACGATAGATTGATACTGCTTGCAAGGGACTTGCTCATAATCTTCAAAGTTGGAGGTTTGTACTCCGTGGATGTGATTGATATACCTAATAATTATGATGTAGTTATCATCTATTCAAAACCTAAAAATTCTACAATATTAACAGCACACCAAGGAAAGTGTAAGACTGAAGTAAAAGTCTAAGAATATCGAGATGATATATCATAGTTGAAGTATCGCCACCATCTAGTGAAGCTGATCTTAACCCTTCGAACCCCCCGATAAAAGGGTCATATAATTCCATAATATAAGACGCTCCAGCGAGTCACACATTCGAAGAGTGATAGTGAATGACTATGAACCTGGAATAACACATGGAGAATCGAGCTTAATCCCACAGTCGTCAAGCAATCTACCTAGATATTCATAGAACTCTGTACGAATGGTATCAATCAAGAATATCCATTCCAACCAGTAACTTCCAACTTCCAAGGTTCCATATGAATTCAACATCAACTTGTTATTATTTCATAGCAACCTCATTATAACTTCATAAGACCACATGGACTTTCCACGGGACCTTTCAATGGGAACCCACCTAGGTAAGCAAAGAAAAATACCAAAATCAAGATCAGGGTCAGAGTTAGATATCTCTACTCTGATTCAACATATCCGCCACCTCATTCACTTCAAAGACGAATCGATCCCATGGACATAAAAATTCAACTTTGAATATAAACACGCACGTATGAATTCCTGCTCCTATACAATATAACATAACATAAGCTCCCCAAGAAACATGAACATGACCTCGCCATCCACACAAAAGCTGAAAACTTCCAGCCCTATTCCCCAAGAATCCCAAAAATAACTACCTATATCAACCTATAAAAATGAAGCTCATGATCTCGCGACAGTAATAAACCAGAACCAAGATATTAATATCCTGCAGTACCTAATTTCCCGCAAATAATGCTAATAGGTCAATAATAATAATAATAATAATAATAATAATAATAATAATAATAATAATAATAATAATAATAATAATAATAATAATAATAATAATAATAATAATAATAATAATAATAATAATAATAATAATAATAATAATAATAATAATAATAATAATAATAATAATAATAATAATAATAATAATAATAATAATAATAATAATAATAATAATAATAATAATAATAATAATAATAATAATAATAATAATAATAATAATAATAATAATAATAATAATAATAATAATAATAATAAGTAAATAATAAATACCTACCTAGGTATCAACAATCAAATTATTCACTTTAAATTTTTCACTAGTGGCATATCGTACCATGATCAGCTTTTGTTTATAAAGATCTGAGAAACTTCTCACCCATCTTTTTTCTTGCTTTCTTTCTTTTCATCTACAACCTCCACCTACACCTCCATCCAAACTCTCAATCTCAACCTTACCCTCGTTCATCAATCCACTTACAGAAAAAAGAAGCAAACTCAATTTTTTCAGATACCCCCACATCTCAACAAATACCATAGTCAATATGTCCATCACTCAGAGATTCCAAACCATATTCGCGCTCCTCTTCCTCGCGCTCATGGTTCCCGTCAGCGCGTACGTCGAGGGTCTTGATCAAGTTGTTCGTGATATCGCATGGGCAACCGAGTCAGCCACTTGTAGTAAGTCTCTTTCATCACTATCCTCGAGCTCCACATCATGATTTACTCAAGAATAACACCCCCACCAGCTTCCCGCTCCCCCAACCTCCAAAAATAAAAACTAACAAAATCGTATTACCCAGCCGATGCCAAAACCGAAACTCTCATTCCTACTGTCCTCCCCGGAACTTCCGCTGCTGCTTCATATTCACATGAAACACTAGTTCCCATCACTCTTCCATCCACCCTTATCTCCATCTCCACCTCATCCATCCCATCATCACCCCTCCTCCCCCTCACCACAGCAATCAGCCTAACCACCACTCAAACCACCAGTTCCCTCGTCATCCTCTCTCCACTCCCCAGCTCCATCTCCATCTCCAGCTCCATCTCCGCCCCCGCCTCCGCCTCCCAAATCTCTGGCTACGTTTCCGCATCTCCCAGCGAGAAAGGAGGTACATACACCAACAGCACCGATACTATCCCCTCAACCACCATACCCTCAACAATCCTCACCACCACCACTTCTTCCCTACCCACCATCACATCCAAAGCATCCGCATCCGCATCCGCTACGAACTCTACTCCCGCAAGCAGCACTAGCACCAGCACAAGCAGTAACGCCGTACAAACAGGTGGAGCAAAACATGCCAATGTACTTTCGGGAGGATTAATGGTTGCTGCATTTGCTGCTGCTTATTTTCTTTAAAGAAGGGCATTGTAGCACATCATACCACACTCTGCACATTACCCGCTAATCGCCCAGTGGATATCCAAAGCTTTTTTCTTTTTTTTTCTTTTTCACTCCTACATTTGTATGTAGGTAGAGTAGGTAGTAAGACTTACATGGTTGTGGAGGAGGAATTTAATACCATTATGCGAAAGCAATGGGGAAGGAATAAATAAAATTCGGGGATGCCTGCAGACCTAGTAACTTTACTGTATCGATTGAGAAAGAAAAATGTGCATAATCAATAGTCAAATAGATTAACTACCTACCTACTTACCTACCTACAGATGAATATCCATCCTTCCTTCCTTCCTTCGATAGGTATTCATTCACATGTATCCAAATCTATATCCGCCCGCACAAGTTCATTCCATTAGTTCTCTGATAAAAAAATAACAACATAACTTTGTTTACCTACCTACCTAGGTAGTTATTGAAAATGCTCCATATGCATATCAATCGCTACCTGCCTACGCATAAGTCCACTCCACCCTTGAATTTAAATTTCAAACGTAAACCTCAAACACAAAATAAATGGCCTTACCCCAAACTACCAAGGCTACAGGAAATTTGACAATAGATTTTAACTACATACATGAAGACTATCCTGCTAATGACCGCATAAATCTTCCACATCTGAATATGGTGTTCAACTCTAAGCCCCCATTTAAAAACACATATACCTCAAAGAGAAGTACATTTTAAAACCTAAAACCAAACATTATCCATGCATCTCGTACCCAATGCCGCTAAAGATCACCAAAAAAAAAAAGCCCAAAATATTTCTTCCATATCGCGCCAAGGCATCAATCGTACAAAGTATACCTAATAATAAAAATTGACATCATCGTCGCTCCGGACTAATGCGACCCTCCATCATTTCCACCAACTCCGAGACTTTTCCTTTAGGTTTCACCCGCCCTTTACTTGCCCCACTTTCAGCACTCTCCGTCCTGGCTAGATTCGTACTATCTTCTTTGCTCAAAACTACGCTAGGATGGCGAGTTAGACTTCCGCTTCCGCTCGCGACTCTGCTTCTTCCTCCCATGCTTCCTCCTTCGCTCAGATCCTCACGAACATCATGATTGACGACTCGTAATCTCTCTTTTGGCACCGTAAACATGACTTGTACCACTCGATCCTCAATTGCTCTTTCTATATCCCATTCATCATCATCTTCGTCAATTCCATTTACCAGACCCGTGGCTTCGTTAGCCCTTACACCTTGGAGATTTGGCCTATCACCATTCACAAATGAACTGGATCTCCCACGCTTAGTCCCAAGTTTCTCGCTATCTTCCCAATCCCCTCTACCCTGCTTTCTCCTCCATAAAGTTGCACCAGCACTCACCGTTCTTCTAGGAGGGTTATCAAGGCGGATCGGAAGAGGATTTGGCTCTCGATCTGTGAGGGTAGATTCAACGGCGGTATCACCATCAGGTCTGAAGACTTTCCGTAAACTTCCCAGCCATCCACGTCTACCAACGCCAACTGGTTTACTCTTCGATGGGCTACCAACGTAGTCGTCGGTCGTTCTAGTGGGTGTTCTTGGAGGTGACTTCGAGGGGGGTGTGGTAGGGGAAGGGGGTCCTCTGTCTGCAAATTGTTCTGGACGAGGGAGTAGAGTTACTGCTTGTGCTTGCAGAATCGGAAAGCTGGAATGAGTATGTGTAGTGGAGAAAGTCGAGGCTGTATTTCCACTGCCAGAACTTCCAGGAGGCTTATTTTGAGCGTTTGGCGTTTCAGGGCTGTCGGGTGTCGGACTTAAAGCAGCGCTTCCTGAAGTAATTGTATTCATGGCATATGTTAAATAGCCCCGGAGTGAGTTCGATGTTGTCCCTTGGGAACCAGATCCTGAGCGACTTATTGTAGCAGCTGAAGGGACCATGCTTTGTTCACTGATATTACTGGCTGTCCGACCACTGTCCTCGGAAATTTCTCCGGAAACAGAGGATGGACCAGTCGCCGTGATCAAATTTGCACGTCGAGAGGGAGAAATCCTGCCGACAGTAGAATGAGACCTGGCTTTGGCGTGAAGAAGGGCATCCGCAGCTGCCCAATCTGCAACCCATGCTTCAATCTCACGTTCACGTTCTTGGGCAGGGGAATCAGGAACAGGTGTAGTGGCACTACGGTTGTTTCGTCGTGCAGGCGCCAAAAGATTATAATTCTGAGGAGGCGAATCGTTGAAGGGATCCGTTCGTGTGGGGCCACAGTAAGTTTCAGCTTCCCCAAGTGGAAGACCAACACCCACTTCAATAGGAGAGATTACGTCAGCATCTTCGTCTGCTTCGTATATTGGATGTATCGGCCCAGCTGCACCGAAACTAGTTGCTCTAATATTTCCACTCGCTGCGCCCGGGTCGAGTGTTAAAGCAGGCTGATACAGCCCACGAGCATTTCGTAAAAGTTTCATAGGTGTTTGTCGAGGTGTGAGAGTTGGAGAACCAATTCCTCCTGAACCGTATTCACCAGTCTGCAAGCTTTGGTAGCCGCCCGTCGCGCCTCCAGAATCATAATACTGTTCATGACGATCTAAATAATCACGAGTATGAGACATCTCTCGTGGACCTGGGTATGCGGTGGCCGCATTGTAACTAAGCGATCGTAGGTCCCTTTCCCTCGCCTCATGTCTTTTTTCTTTGCGTTTCCTTCTCCAGCAAATCAAATACCAACCAACTCCTACGATGACAGCAACAAGCGCAGATATTCCTATGCCGAGTCCAATGCCAAGACCAACTTCCGAAGAATCCGAGGATGACGATGAACTACTACGAGAAGCAGATGAGACATATGTCGGATTGGTGTAATTTGATGACCAAGTTGAGCTTGTAACATTAAAGAACATGGGTTGAATAGTGGTGTCTAGAGCTCTTTTCGCATTGCCAGAGGCTGTGATGTTAAACCCACCCAATACCATCATCACATTTCCAGGAAGCATTGCTGCACCGTGTCCATAAAAGCCATCTCCGGAAGGCTGATCTGCAGGCACCGACCATCTCCATTGTCCACTTCCTCCATAACCAGTCCCAAGTTCCAATATAGCAAGCTGCGGATCGGCGGCTTGATTAACGTTCCCCACCCATCCACCGAGAATTATAACCTTAGATCCATCTTCTGTTAGTATTGCCGTGTGACCCGATCGACTATCAACGCTAGTAACTGAGCTTTTAACAGTTAGTTCTGTGGGACTCTCTGTTGAAGATGGTGGATTGACTGTTAGAAAGCTCCAAGTCTCCTCGGGAAGACTCCAAATGGCAACTTGGCTCATGTTGATAAATGCGCTCTTGGTGTGCCCACCAAGAAGTATGAAATTTTGTGCCTGGGTCATGATCCCCGAGTTATTTGAATAAGATGGGGTCAGCGGAGTGGTAGTGAACCCTGCGTCGGCGATGGGAGCTCCTCTATTAGCAGCGAAATCCAGATTGTACGAATTTGCAGACTCAGGCGATATTCGCATCATATGGTTCGAATAATTAGCATTCGATTGCCATGTCGATACATTCGCCGACGAATTGGGACACATGCCACCATATATGTATATATCCGTATCTGTAGCATTTGCGTTGACCAATGTTGAGAACTGGAATCCTCCCGACAAGAATTGCGCGCCCGCAACACCTGCAGAGGAGACATCACTCGCAATAGTAGTTGTCTCATTCGTCCATGTCCCATTTCCAGGAGCTTTATCGCCAGGTGTATAAGTCCATAGTTCAGTGCTGGCAGGTTCCGAGCACGAGCCAGTGAGCAATGAGATCTCACCGTACGTCCCGATGGTGGGTATGAAAGCGGTATTATTGTCGAGAAACGAAAGATTAGGTGTAAATGGTTCTAGTGTGAGATTCGAAGCAAATAGAGTCGAAGAGATATTAAGGAATAAAAATTCCGGTCGAGTGTCGGATTCGGAAGCGATGAGGAAAATAAATGCGACATCGTTGTTTTGGCTCGCGCTCGATGGAAGAAGGATCGTAGTAGGATTATACGGCAACGCCTGCGCATTGGCAATAGCTATGAGAATTACCGATGTCCAGAGGACAGAGAACAAATGCGTTCTCATGCTGAATTTGAGAATGGGGGAGGAAGGTACTGATATGCTGGCAGAGGCTAAGCTGTTTTTCGATGCTGATCACATTATCATTGCCAGTGAGATTATTAATATCTCAAATTGAGAGTGGAGAGCACAGCTCAGCACTGATTCTCCTCGAACTCTCTTGCCAGTCTGATTCGATTGGAAGTAGGTAGGTATGTAATGTAACGGTTTAATTTTGTATCGATCGCGATTGAACAGTACAGAGCACATCTGCACGAAAGATTTAGTGTGACCCAGTATCAGGCCTAGTGGACCTCCGGTGATAAACACTGGATCCAGACCAGCCACTGATCAGTGTTGTTAGTTTTCCCGTTCGTTGGCATAGTGATAACCGCGATTAGTAGCTGCAAGCACACATAAGATCTTACTTGCATGTGAAAAGATCATTGCGAATAATCAATTCATCATGGTAAGATGCTCATATATCTTCACAGACAAACAACAATTGCTTGATGCGTTGTATGCGGTATCAATTGGAGCGATACCATAATCCATTGCGTAGATCTCTCATTTGAACTCATCCGTTGATGCGGATTCTTGGTTGAATTGTTTTGAGTTAGTGATGAAGGGTGTCTGTGCCTCGGCTCCAATTTTACGCCTTAGTCGTTTCGGCACTTCATCCTCATAGTGAGGGGTCATGTTATTGCATACAGTAGTACCATTTGCTTGTCAATGGTAATAATTTCCGCTGCACATCATCATCATCCTGACGTCAATCTCTCCAACACGATAGATATATCAATCTTCCTTCTTGCCATTCGTATGATGCGAATCCGTGATACACCACATAGCTTGCCATTATCAATCCGCACAACATAGCAGATATGCCAGCCTGCACACTCCATCTCCTTTCTCTCGCCGTTGCTATCCCTGAATTCCTTTCAGCTCTCTCAAAAACTTCTGTCACTCCCCTCACAATTGGCAGGGTTGTGCGCTGGATTGTTCTCCCAACATCGATATCAATTGACCCACTTCTCGCACGCAACATTCATTGGGATATCTTCATGATCCTGCCAAATACCAATGTCCTTCCATCCTCACTTCAAAATCTTATCATCCATCAATGGCAGGTTACAGCAGGAGTACCGTCAAGATTAATTCAAGATTTCGCATCAAAGAATGAGAAACTACTTAACCCTCGGCCGGAAGATATACCACCCCTCACTGCAAGATTAAATGAGTACAGCACGAGATCTTCAGCCCAGGCTCTTGAGCTTTCTCCCCCATTACTAGAATGGATTAAAACATTCAGCAAACAAGAAGGACGAGGCGCAGTTTCTATGCTCAATCTTCTAGCTTTCAAACCTGGACTAAAAGAACAATACTTGAAATATGGAGCGGAATTTGCGAAATCTATCGGTTCAAAACGAGGTGGAATTGCAAAGATTGTCGGAACTGTGATACATGAAGGAAATTCGAAAGAAGGCAGTGAATGGGATGAGGTTGCATTGGCACATTATCCGAGTATTGAACATTTTGCAGATATGTTGGCTAGTGAAGACTATCAGGAGGTAAATCACAAGTACAGGGTGGGAAGTTTGAAGGATACTTTTATTCTTTGCACAACGGAACTGGATTTTCCTACATGGAGCAAAGGCAAGTCGAAACTGTAGAGGGCGGTGTGTGGTACGAAATTGCATCATTGGCAAGCTATAACTATAGATAGGGCTGTTCTTCCGCTCCCTAAGATCCCCCGAAGCAAGACTGGCCATCTTATACTGCTGCGACATTGCAATAGATCCGAAAGCTTAAATCCCTTACTATGTATGCAAGTTCTTGATAAACATTAGTTTTTCCTACATCGAGCCCGATCAGCGTAAATAATCACGGCTAGAATTCTGACAAGCCTGTCCTCCCTGGCACTTATTCGACTCGATACACAACAAATTCCACCCCAAGAATAAGGCGCCAATAGACGTCGCATTTTTCATGATAGTATCATGTAAAGGATATAGCCTTACGACAACAATCCTGAAACGAAAAGTACACATGGTCAAGCCTAGAAAGCTATTGTGTGCCGGGTTCTCGGCATTATTTCTGGAGTGAGAGTCGCGTAATCTGTGCTGCATCTGGCGCGGTGCCTTGCGTAGGTTAGCATCAGATATGAAGCTCATCTTCTTCTTATGATTAGCATCGTTGACGGTGTTACGGCTGGATCAAGCCAAAGCTTCGGCCGTTCATTATTATCTGGCTTCGAGGGAACTGGATTTGGGGTTTTTCTGCACTTGGTTACGCGAGTGATGAAAGTAAAAAGCTTCCCAATTCTTTGGAAGTCATCATGGGGTGTTTTCGTAATACCTTGTGGTTGTGTCTCGTAGCATGCTGGTAAGACCTCCAAAACAATTCTACCTAGGATTTGAAAACGCACCACTAGACTGCGTTTCCCCGGACTACAGAGCGTATTTGCGGTCAAAAACTTCAAATAACATACTGCATTCCTCGATTACCAGCTGCTTCGTTCACCGGTCTTTCAAAACGGAGGGTGAAATTACGGATAGCGGTAAACGTGTTTTGCACTTTACTGCTGAACTAATGTAAACTTGCAAGCTATCTGAACACTATAGCAAGGTGATATTGAAAAAGGTCCTGTAAATCAAAAACTATTCACTTGTCTCGTCTGTGCTGTCTGCTTGGGGTTATAAAGCGGTGGCTTATGAGTAACGGACGCTGTCTAATCGCGTAATCCCCCCTCTGCCGTCGTATTTGGCTTCTCCGCTCGACTTAGCTTCATGGAAGCCGAGCTCGATTCGACACTAGATTTATTTCAAATCCATCAAACTTGCCGTTTAAGTCTTAAATCGGTAAAATCATCGATGTGCGGATTTCGGTCATCGACAAATAACTCTGCGATGATAAATTCGTGATTTTGAAGTAACTAACCTTTTAAAAGACAGACCCAATGACTGATATAAGAAATGGTGTATCATCTAACTTACAAGCAACCTGACTTACAATTACATATAAACGGCGACAGTATGCTGATGTTTAATAGTCTTGAGGACTTTCTGAACTGTTGGGCACTACGTGCATAAAATGAGGAAGACACGATCATAATACTGAATTGCTCGCGCTATCACGTGCTAAAATATGTTCACCGCTTTAGGCGAGCTAGCGGAGCCACCAGTGAACCTTGAGATGACTAGCGCTTTCGTAATTATGTTAGTCTGCTGAATAAGTTGCTGATGCAATACTTTCATCAGCATCAAAAATCAATCCATAATCCACAATCCACAATCACCTAGACCAAATGCCATCAGTAAGTGAAAAATCATCATCAAAGAAATATATCTGAAATCAATAAGTAATCATTTCCTAATCCTCATGTAACCTATATTCTCCTTCATCCCTCACATTCCAGAAGACTTTCAAAAGTCTATAAATGAAGCTCCTCATTCTCATGACCTCCATTTTCATTGCATCAATTTCAATACTATTCTACAGTAGCAATAGTCAACTATCACAGTTCTTTCAATTCTTCACAAACAACCAAATAATTACCGCAATTAACACAGACTCAATTACAACCCAATCTTCTATGAGCACTACATCTGCCATCAAATCAACCATGTCCAAAGCACTTTCACACGCCAAGATTACTCCCCGCAGGTCATCGGCTCGAGGCCATGCTGATCATGGCTGGCTTAATACTTACCATACCTTCAGTTTCTCAAGCTACCATGATGGTCAATTTCAGAACTTTGGAAGTCTGCGAGTCCTTAACGAAGATCGTGTAGCTGGTGGCACAGGATTCCCTACACACCCTCATCGCGATGCTGAAATCTTCAGTTATATTCTCAGTGGAGAACTGACCCACAGAGATAGTATGATTAAGAAGGGAGCAGAGAAGGCGCAAGGAGATGATTTTTACAGAATGAAAAGAGGAGATGTTCAGTTCACAACTGGTGGAAGTGGTATGGTTATCCTCTTTCCCCGAATGAATTAAACAATGCTAATGGATATCTTATAGGAATCGCACATTCAGAACAAAATGAATCAGAGGAAGAAGTCCACTTCCTTCAAATATGGGCTCTTCCTTGGGCTAGATCTCTCACTCCACGATACCATACAAAAACCTTCTCTGAAGACGCCAAGCGATCTGCATTCTTACCAATTCTCTCACCATTGAAAGCTGGTCCTAATGCCTCTGCAGAAGAGGAAAAGGCAGCAGAACCGACGCTGCCAGATACCATACCTATACATGCCGATTTTGTCATGGCTGCTGGGATTATTGGAGTGGACAAAAGATTCAAATGGACTGTTGGTGGAGAGGCAACAAAGAGCGCTGAAAATAGAAAAGTCTATATACATCTTCCTATGACTAAGGGTGGCAATTCAAAGATCAGATTAGATGGCAGAGAAGGAGCTGTGCTATCTGAGGGTGATGGTGCGTTCGTTGAAGGAGTCAAGGCAGGGGATGTGTTGAGTGTTGAAAGCATCGGAGAGGCAGAGGCGGAAGTTATCGTTTTGGACAGCGATTAGATGTTTCTGATTGATGGAATTTGGCTTTTTGATGGATCCCTACCTAGTATTTAACACTTATTGTACATTTGAACCTTTTTAAATTTTCACTCAGTATGACCAATAACGGTGAAGTGTCACTTTGCTGCAAATTTTCCCGCGACATCATAGACGAGAATATTGAATATGACAAAATATCACTATCTACGTTTTGTTATCCAAAGTTGTATAATTATGACACAATGACGGAAATGGATTCACGACGATGACTAGACGAATTCAAAAAACAAAAGATCTCCTCTCTATTTCTGCGTGTAGTCTACTTCTAGTTGAAATACTCTTTATACTTACTAGCTACTTAATTCATGCAAGCTAGGCGGGGTAGTATATGGATCACTAAGTGCGATGAGCTTGTGAGTATTAAGCGAACAGTGTTCAGGATGATACAATTCGATGTCGACGGCACGAGCTAGGTTTCTCTCGGAAAATCTTCCGTCGAGTACTAAAAATACAAGGGCTTTGTACGAACGTGCATTCCTATTGCACTGCTTGCATCGATACCTAGGTATTTAGGTGTTGCGCCAAACTGATACACTTGGAGATCGACTGGCTGGCTGGCTAGCTGGCTGAGATTCAGATTGAGATTGTGATTATGTATAAACTGCAAGATAGGTATGATTAATCTTAAGGGGATTTGAAAACGTGGGATAGATAATTGGCAGGACATAAGCTCTTACATTCGATTTCGTAAGTATATCAGGGCCATGATATGGGATTAAAATGTATCAAATATGGATGGTTTCGGGGCGGGGCGTTGAGTAAAGTGATAATATATCATGGAATGTATACCTAGCTGAAGTAGGTTATAAATGAGTAAATATTTAGATATTTTGGAGAGCTTGATTCGATGGGGTAGATAGGTAGGTTAAGCTAGGTATTTTTTTTCGTGGATAGTTAGTTAGTTAACCTTATAAGATTTGATAATAAGTACTCGAGTTTTGATAATAATAATTCATATGCACTTTTTTTATTATATTAGTAATGCCCATATGACTTTCTTGGTTCGGAATGGGATGTTTATTTATTTATTTACTTATTTGCAGTATTCAGAACTTCGAGTTGAACAGGTGGTAGGGGAAAGCTGGGAATAGGGCTGAGAGTGAAGATTTCGTTGTCTTCTCCATTTGGTGGTTGGCGGTTGGTGAATGTGATTATATATGCATCCTAGTGCTGAAATTTGAGTAGAATTGTTTTTGGATAAGTTGGGGTGGTCTGGAATTATGGTAGTTTGGATGATTTGCCTAGATGATCGTTTGATGTCTCCTCAAGTATTCTGTGAAGATGAAAATCGGATATAGAGATGTTATATTTTGTGCAATGAAGTGGTTAAATTTTGCCCCTCTTGCTGTTGTTGGCGGAAGCTAGTCAGTAGCTCCGGGGTACAGCGGGGTTCAGCGGGGTTCTCCACGCGATACTTCGTACTCCCCATCCTACTCGAGAGACTTTGCTCGCGCCCATAAATTCCAGAAACTTTCCACATCTTTTACATTCAACGGAAACCTAACGGAAAGCGACCATAAATATTTCCATCATTTCTACGGCGAGATTAGTCATGATGGTAATGACTAACTATAATACGGCATGGTGTGCAATCACATGAGACCATCCATGCAAAGGCGGCGCGTGAGACTGATTCTGACTCGATGTCTTGAATGTACAGACACTTTATAACAGAAAATATGGTGGAGTTTATCTCTCCAAAAGCGTCAGAATACTCTCAGTATCTTATCAAGCAAGATGAGTAAGTTATGTGTTTTATTCTAAAACATTATATTTCTGACATTTATGCATAGATAATGTTCGTCGACAAGCTCGAAATGCAAGAATTACAACCGAACGGGACCAACCACTAGGCCTCGACCCTCTCTTAAGATGCAGAAGATGGGCCGACGAAAGGCTCGAAAAACCTGATGACGAACGGAGGGATGTGGAATCTTTACCAGAGCAGAATAATGCACATGCTTTACCATCACGCATAGAGGCCGCTCATATGCATTCGGATCCTGAAATTGTTATGATCATATCTGCTCCGGAGTCTTTATCCCCTATACCAACCATAGAACAGATTGCAAGGCCACAACCGGCTGGTAATCTAGATGCTGAGAAAACCACAAGCTCTATCGTCGGACAGAAACATCCTCGACATCGATTTCCACAATCCGCTGCAGAGGCCAAACCCACTTGTGAACTTAACACAGCTATCGAGCACCAAAGAAGTCACGCACCATCATCTGTACATTTGGTCAAACAAATAGTAGCAATTTTCTGCTCATCATGGCTATCAGTCCTTCTTCCATTTATTCCAGCAGGATTTGCTTCAAATTACACCAATTCACCACCAATCCTCAATTTTATATTGAACTTCTTCGCAATCTTTCCAAGTGCTTCCATTGTTGATATGGCTATGGATGAAGTAATGTTACATTTTGGAAACACTATTGGTGTGTTGATGTATATGACTTTTGGGAATATCGTGCAGTTGGTCACCTCGATCCTTCTCCTCAAAACTCGCCAGGTGGAAATCCTAAAAACTTCACTAGTAGGAGGTATCCTTAGTAGAGTTTTATTGATAATGGGTGCAAGTTATTTTGCAGGTGGAATCAATCGACTGCAACAGTCCTTCGATGTGAGCTCTGCAAGCCACGTGGCTAATTTCTTGACATTATCTGTGGCCAGCTTGATTATCCCTACAGCATCTCATGTTTTTGCCAATTCAACTACAGAGAAGATTGCCGCTCAATCACGAGGAACTTCGATTGTACTTTTGCTTGTATACATCGTCTATCTTTTTTTCCAGCTGAGAACACATGCACATGTCTTCAATCCAGAGATCATTATAGTAATTTTAAAACTCTTAACATACTTTACAAACGCTAACTTTGGTTAAGGACACTAAAAATGTAGCAAAACAAACCATTAAAGGTGTCGCGGAAGGAACAGTAACCGAAAGTCAACCTTCTCCTCCATCAATCGTATTCTCCAAAAATGAAGTGTTAGAGCCCCGACTATCTATGACAACCGGTATAATCACCCTCATTATCGGTACCGTCGTTCTCGCCTTCAACACCACTTTTGCAGTCGATAGTATTGATGGTTTAACAGCCGATCACGCCTCACCCACATTCATTGGTTTGATCCTCCTCCCATTCCTCGACAACGATCTCATGCCAATAAAATGTGCGCGTATGGATAAATTAGACTTGAGCATCATGGCATCAGCTGGAAAATCTCTTCAGACTTCCTTACTCATTACACCTCTCATCGTGATTATTGCTTGGATTTGGGGTATTGATGATATGGGTTTATTGTTTGATGGGTTCCAAGTAGCGTCGCTGTTTATGGCGGTTTTAATCTTCAATTTTCTCATTGCGACGGGAAAGAGTAATTAGTAGGTTTATCTCAATGTGTTTCTAGATGTTGCTGACTCGATGTAGCTTGCAAGGTGTTTTACTACTTTCGATTTATGTCATGATAGCTATAGCAGCTTGGTATACTTAAATCGTATCGGAGGATGACAAATAATCTCTTCATGATTCGAATTGTTGATACTTTATATCAATTAGATAGGACTAAGTCCATATTCTTTGAACCTTTTACCCATTCATATTTCCTCCGAGCATTATTGACCTCAACTTATTAGAACAAAAACAGTAAAATCCTAAGACCTCCACCGGATATCCTTCTCCTACACATATATATCAAGAAGCGAAATATCACCATGCTTCCCCTCCCATGTAATCTAGGAATTGAAAAAACCTGGTCTCCATTTTATTCCACCTCCCTTACGTGAATATCGCTCGACTTTATAGTTATAGACTGATGTCATTTGTTCAAAGATGCTGAACTGCGCAGTAATAAACGAAAAGGTAGGGTGACAATCACAGTATGCACAATTTATTGTAAACGAAAGGATGACATGATGGGAAAGTAGCTCGACAGTTGATTATAATGTTCAAATCTTTCCTATCGCAGAATATTCAGTACCATGTCCGTATAATACAGCCTTATATCGTTATATTATTGGGGAAGATTACTTCCTTATATAGTACTAGACAAAAAGTAAGGGTCATTTTATATATTTATATCAGAAAATTCTAATCTTCATTTTCATTTTGTTATTATTTTTAATTAATTTTACGAGTGTAGAAATAATTTATACAAAAAGTATATTTTAATATTGATATTTATTAAAATAATTATAAGTTATATATAAATATCATTTTTGTATTTTTTTTTATTAATGATTATATAATCGAAATTAGAAGAATGCAAGTGTGACCAAAAGGGTGTTTATAGACCAGTGTGACCAAAAGGGTGTTTATAGACCAGCAATTGTATTTAACTTAGAATCTACAGGTGAAGAGCACCTGTAGATGGGGATAGCTACTCTATATATACACAAATGAATGGCCTAGCCGCAATGGCTAGGCAAAAAGAAGTCATATTTATTCCTCCAATGATCTTACTTTACCGATAACCATTGATACCTAGTACTTGTCCGGATCTGATCCTCAGGTCACCTAAATCGCATACTAATCTCGAGTAATCGTATCATGTGTGGACATGGTTAATGTACCTGAGGTTTCTTATATAATAAAGGTGGGAGGAAAGCAGGGATTTCCGTCACAACCAGCAATTGTATTTAGCTTAGAATCTACAGGTGAAGAGTGTAACGATACTGTACCGGAGGCAGCGGCTGCCTGAGGTTTCGTCTGATTGGTAGTTGTGGGTTAAGGCTTTATCACTAGTCTTCACTTGGAAGTGAAGTCGTTACTAGATCAAGTAGAATGTAGGTAAACTAATTGATAACTAAGTTGAGCACGAAGCTCCTAAACTATGAAACTACTCTGACTATATACTGAACAATAAAGGGGGCCCCTAGGAGCTTTCTGGCTCCTCAAGACTCCTTATCACGCGATTTCTGATGGTGCGTGCGCATACGATCTTCAGGTGACCAAGATCACATACTAATTCGATGAAATCTGATCGTGTTTGCACACGGCCTAAGCTCTCCTAATTAATCAGTTTGCTACCATCGTAACACCATCAATCCTAATGGTGAATCGTGACAAAGAGCACCTGTAGATGGGGGTAGCTACTCTATATATACACAAATGAATGGCCTAGCCGCAATGGCTAGGCAAAAAGAAGTCATATTTATCCCTCCAATGATCTTACTTTACCGATAACCATTGATACCTAGTACTTGTTCGGATCTGATCCTCAGACCACCTAAATCGTATACTAATCCCGAGTAATCTTATCATGTGTGGACATGGTTAATGTACCTGAGGTTTCTTATATAATAAGGGTGGGAGGAAAGCAAGGGTTTCCGTCACAGCAAGAATTTGTGTTAATCATTTTTAAATTTGTATAATTATCAAAAATTCAAAAAGTACAAATTTTTTTTTGATATGTTTTTATATTCTGGCACTTATTTCTTGTGAGTCACTGTATGGATGTGGAAAATGACAAGATATCTAAATAGCCATACTCCCCAAAAAATATTCAATGACTTCTGTAACTTACTAACCATGTAATATGCAACCGGCTGACCGCAATCCATCAACTACCTTGTAAGTACATCTAGTAACCTTATCTCCATCAACATGTCCAATTCCTCAGAATACCAGGTTAGAAAAAATGTAGCATGGAAAAGAGGGATTTAGCATTAACAACAAACGGAGATACGCTCGAAGTTAACGGTGTTTAACTTTGAAGCGATGCGATGCTGACATTGCATATCTACGTAGATTTGTCAAGGATCCAGATATCCACTTGAAATCGAATTTCGATATGTAATTGGTTGGTTCTTTATTGCTGACGCAAATGCGCAAATGCGGCCGCTCCCAGCTCCTCTCGCTTTTATCATATTCAGGGAGGAGGAGTATTGAATGTAGTGCGGAAAGTTGAGGAATTTGATTTTTGGGGACTGATGGATGTATGTACCAGAGAAAAATATATATAAAGGCGCGAGTTTCTGATGAAATGGAAGTTTTTTATTCGGTAGAGATATCGAGCTTCTTCTTCTTCTTCTTAAATATATTTATATGTACAGATTTATATCGCGGTTGATTTTTATCCCCCTTTTCAGTATCCGCATTAGACGAGAAATTTGAAGAACTATCTAAACTACTCTTCAAAAAATATGTCTCCTAAAATCCAAATCGACCCAAATTTACCCGCTGACACAGTATGGTTCAGTAAGATTCTCTCTCGATTCCCATCTTCCCAAATGCTCTCCCCCTCTCCTCCAACTAACAAACCCCCCCTTCACAGTAACCGGTTGCTCCTCCGGCATCGGCAAAGCCCTCGCTCAAGAAATCTTCACCAAAACAACGCACTTCCTAATTCCCACAGCACGCAACCCCTCATCCCTCACCTATCTCCCCCAGTCCCCACGTATCCTCCCTCTTTCCCTGGACGTCACATCCGCGTCCTCCATCAGAGACGCTCTAAACGCCAGTCTTGCAACTTTCAAACATATCGATATTCTGGTTAATAATGCGGGTTATGGTATATTAGGCGATACTGAAAATGTACCTGAGGAAAGCGCTCGTAAGGTTTTTGAGACGAATTTTTGGGGCGCGGTAAATTTGTCTAAGGAGGCTGTGAGGATATTTAGAGAGGTTAATGGGGAGAAGGGGGGATTGGTTGTGCAGATTAGTACAGTGGGTGGGGTGGTTGCTTTTGGGGGACAGGCGTTTTATCATGCCAGGTATTATTTTTTTGTTATTTTAATTTTCATCCTAACTCACTCCCTCACTTACTCAGTTATTCAAAAACCACAAGCAAGAAAGCCCCCTAACAACGCAAACAGTAAATTCGCCCTCGAAGGCTTCACGGAATCCCTTTCCCACGAAGTTCCCCCATCCTGGAATATCCGCTTCCTGATCATTCAGCCCGGCGGCGTCAGAACAAACTACGGCACATCATCACTTGTGAAAATTCCCGCTCATCCTGCATACAGCGATACTTCATTCGGGACGCGGAAGCTAGAGGCTTTTTTTGATAATCCTGCTTTTGGGGATTATATGGCGGATGTGAATGTAGTTGCGGGGATTATTGTTGAGGCGGTTATGGGAGAGAGGAGGGGTGAAGTGGGATTGAGGGTTCCCGTTGGGCCGGATAGTTGGAGTTTTATTAAGGGGAAGTATGAGGAGGAGTTGGTGGGGTTGGAGGAAGTGAGAGGGTTGAGTTGGAAGACGGGGAATGAGAAGCTTTTGGAGGTTATTGGGTTTTTGGATGAAGAGAAGGGAATGTGAAGTGTTGATGTTGTTGTTCGTGTTGTTGTTGTTGGTTTGGATTTTCGATTCGGTGCTTCTAGTCAGTGAGATTCATGATTGTGTGTGCAGAAGGTATAATCAGAGGACTGAGTGGTCGTTTTAATTCTATGAAGCAATTTGATTAATTTGTAGAGTTATGGCGAGTCTGCTTGTAGTTGATTCCTCACACATGAATAAAGATCTATGTATGATCGATTGGCTGTATTAACACAAAACAAAGCGTCCATAAATTTCAATTCTTAGAATTTCTTTTTTCGTGCTCTATAATGCACCAGCTAACCTTATTACCTCCCTCATATACGTGCTGAATCTCATCTTGATGGCTTTAGCTATTATTTCGTACCGGAATACAATTGAAGGGCTCACTCATAATACCCTCACTTCCCAAGAGACCTATTTTACAAAACTAACTTCATCAATGACAGACTGTCATTGACGGTCAGGACTTCACTAGCGATCATAAGCTTAACACTCTACCAATCATTTTAAATACTGCTATAATCAAGCACACGCTACTTCCATATTCGAAACTTTCGAGAACGGAAATCGTAAAATTACGTAAAGCTAGACTCACTCGAGCCAAGGAGTAAAGTCATTACAGAACAAAGACATCTTTGCGCTTGTATTTTTTGATATTAGATACATATATGTCTAATTCTCTTCTTTTCAAAAATACCCCTATGCCTAGGGTCTTTTATACGTCTTACATAGCTAACACCCATCACGGATGGAGAATTATAAAGCTGACATATTATTATATTAGGCAGGAAAGTGAATGGAACTTGTTTAACTTCTTTACTCGCATCGCTCATATTGCGAACTAAAGATCGCATTATTAAAGTTCAGAAGAATTCGACTTTGTAAGCCCACCCACAAGATATATTTCTGGTGTGAAGATGATATGGGATCTACAAAGTAGAAACTAGAATATAGATTTTTCTTTTTATCCTAATGATCTTCACCATACCTGCTAAATTATGGAATTTTATTAACTTTGGAGGTTTGGGACATTAAATCTAGGCTAATAAGTTTCATAATTAGTAGTGTGTATTCATAAAAATTAATAACACCTATCCTTCAAGTCAATGACAACATTCAGTTAAAATAGACAAAGTAATTCGCAAGCTTTTGCATCAATGTATAGCGGTGCTACAAGGTACCGAATAGTTTTCTGGTCCAAACCACTTTTAGCTTTAAGATCTTCGACTTCAGGTTTACGGACCGAGGAACTAATGAAGAAGTTGAAAGCTTAAATAAATATTGAGTACTATTTGAGGGAAAAGAGCTGATCAATAATGGTACTGTAAGATTGATACGAATTAATTCGATACTAGCAAGACCTAATTCTGATGAGGGTCGTAGATATCGAACCATCGAACTATCGATAATCTAACCAGAATGAGAACTTACTCATCCCGTGAATTTTCAAAAGATTATGGTATATATTTGTAGGAAACAACATGTAAAAATGACCCTTTAACAAAACATGGGAAGGGTTCGCACCAATATAAAATTGGATATCCTACTCAAAGCTAGCCATATGCAGAAAATTGATATCTTAATAACTCTTATACCTTCTATGCAGTTTTCCTTTTTCCGATAATTCGATGTAGCTGAAAAGATGACGCTTAACCAAAAATTAAAAAACGCCGTCTTTTATCCATATATATGCACCATAAACTCCATTTCCCCTATGCCCTTAAAATCCCCCTATTCCCTTAAAACCCCCCAATATCCCATCCCACCCCATCCCATCCCCTCCCCTCCTCCATCTCCCATCCAAGCAACACTTACCCGCTCACCTAAACCAACAAGCCCAAAACCCCATAAAGCACCCAACTCACGGCCAAAAACAATTCATTCTCCCACACCTCATTAGTCAAGCCAATCGCATCATTAAAATCCCCTGTACCCGGAATTGGCAATTTAGGTTTCCCCTTCCAGAAATCCCCTACATATTCTCTCGTAATAAGCAACACTGCAAAATTAACCGTTGACAGGGCGAAAATAGTGCTACATGTATAATTTAAGAGGAGGAAAGGAGTAGCGGTTGAGAGAGTAAGAATAAGCTTTTATGGAGTTAGTTCTTTCGAGAATACGGGGGAATGAAGATGAGGAGTAAATGAATGAATGGACGAAAGAAAGAAAGAAAAACTTACAGCTCCTACACTGGCCGCTTGCGTAGTTCGTGTTTTGAATAGTTGTTCCTCGGCGATATTGGAATATTTTGCGGCTTTAATGGCTTTGCTTTCATAGGTGAGAAGTTTGGGAATGGCAATTGAGGAGAGATAGAGATTATATCCTGTAAAGGCGATTTGACCAGTGCTTATGAGGCTTAATAATGCGGCGAAGAAGCCCATTTTTTTATTGGGATGTTGGATTGATTTGTATTGGAATGGAGTGGGAATGGCGATTTTGAGGATTTCGCAATTGAATTTATAGATATATGAACTATAGTTTTGTTTAATTTGAATTTGAATCCGAATTTAAATTTAGATACTCGTAAAAGAAGGTTCATAAATGTGCACCCTGTGCCTACTTTAAGTGGCAATGATATCATTTTTGGAAGTGGGACGAACCTTCTTGGAACTACCTAGGGGGAATTGGGGGGGGCAGATATCTCGGTTATGCTCAGCCCTAATTTGTTGGATCAAGTGGTTTCATCTATTTCAAATTACTACTGGATTCGAAGGGAAATAGGTTTTGGACGGATATAAGTATTGTATAGATGCAGGGATTTCTGCGGTTCTAGAACGGATATAGATTATAATTAGAACGGATACGAATTTTTGAAACCTTAAATGATGATTAATATCAAAGTTGAAGTTATTCAGAATACATTGTATTTTTATAGAGGTTCAATCAATCAATAATCTAGCCTATCATGCCCGTCTTTTACAACGAGCTCGATGTTTCCGAAATGAAATTTTGAAATCTTACAGGTTTTCGATATTGAAAATATCAAAATGTAGTGATTTTGAAACTCTATAATGATCTTGAGTAAGTATTAATAGCTTAGTAGAGATTGTTAGTTTTGAAAAACAATGTTTTTATTATAAGTTACAAGGTTCTTAAACCATAGATACAAACTAATATTATATATACAAGATTGTATAGTGTATATATATATATTAAATTATATACCTTAAATTAAATTATATTCAAAATTACAATAATATCATAATTTAATATTAATAATAAAATAAATAAATAAACATTATATAATTAAAAGATGTTTTTTTAAAATAACAATTTTAAATTATAAATTTCATCAAAATATTATCTTATATATATAGTTTTAAACATTTTAAAAAATCCCTACAAAAGATCCCATATACATATAACTCTTAATTCACCAATCCCAATTATAAATTTTCACAAAAAGAATGCTTATTTATAATCTTTACCTACCTAATAGATTATACACAACTACATACAACTAACATCTAATTACTCAATACAATCAACCAGCGCAAAGCTAAGGTTGTGTGGTTTAATTTATAGGTAGGTGTATCTGGAATGAATTGGTAAGCCCAATTGGTCATGATCATTATAAGCTTATGTTTGGTTAGATTGGGTTTGCTCAAGATTGCGATTGTTATTTCTTATGTCATTAGATCTTTTTTGTAAGGCTTACTATAAGATATGATCTGGCTCTCTTATATTATAATAGATGTTATACCATGGGGTTTAAACCACCAAGTCGAGACTAAAAGTCATAGCTCAGAAACTGATGGAAAAGAATACTTTTAATTTCTAATCATAGGTATGTTCATTCTCGGCTCCCCCTCATTCATAACGGATCTAGGTATCATATTTTTGAACTCCCCCTAACTCTCATAAATCAATTTTCTATCCCCCATCACCTTCCAAAACTCCTCCACAATCTCCTTTTGACCACTAGGTGCTCCTCTAATTGCCAAATACTTCCTCCCATCAACCTCACAATTCCATTGTCCCGGATTTCCTCCAACCATAATACCTCCAGCTTCAACTAAAATACACCAACCAGCCGCAACATCCCAAGCCCAACAACCTCCCTCCCAGAAAACATCTTGTTGTCCACTAGCCACATGTACTAAATTCAAAGCTGCACTTCCCAAACCCCTCAGCGAATGTACCATGGAACCTCCATCTTCTTTTGCCGCTGATAACTTTCTAAAAACATCACATTTGAGATCGAAATTATGTCCTGAGCGATCAGAGCCCCATTCTGCACTCACGAGACAAGTACTTAAATCTTTTAATGGTTCTGGTTCTTTCTTAAGCGGTAAACTGAATTTTTCTCCATCCTTGCGTGTTACGAATGAGCCGTGACCTTTGATACCACTGAAGAGATCCCCGGTGAATGGATTATATATAACTCCCACACTGGGTATTTTATCGACGACAAAACCAAGAGAGATACAGAAGGCGGGATAGGCATGTACGAAGTTTGTTGTGCCATCTATGGGATCGCAGATGAAGGTTGGAGCGGAGGTAAGTTTAGTTTCGCCTTTGACGAAGGTCTCTTCACCAATGAAAGAGTATGTTGGGTAGGCGGAGGTGAGGCGGGTAGAAACCATTGTTTCGACTGCTTTGTCGGTTTCGGTTACGAGGTCGGCGGCTGGATGAGGAGGAATGTTAGAGGAGATTATATAGGGGAAATTGATTGATCATGAAGAGGTCAAGAATGTTTATTACTTACTATTCATCTTGGTCCCAGAGCTCAGGTATGAAGGGGTCGCGGACATGATCATACGACCTGCTTCATGAGCAATTTCGATCAAAAGATCGTGGATTTCCTGGAGGTTGACTTCGGCCATTTTTGGAGATGTGCTAAAGAATGTTGTAATATTTAATTAGGAGGTGAAGTGAGAATTAAAGAATGAACAAAAGAGACGTTCTTTATGCAATGCAAGTAAACAGTTAGACAAGTGAGGTGAGCTCCAAAGTGGGGCGGGAGGGGTCATTATGAAGTTATCTTATCAGCACGTGGGGAGCACTTTGGGCAGGAACTGGTGGGATCAAGTAGAGGTGAATATAGTATAGAACAGTAGTTGTTCCCCTTCATTAGCAGTAGAACAAGAGACAAGATGAAGGTTTGGTTTGTAACATTCTTGAGTGACCTCCGATTAACTATGAAGAAAAGGCAGCGCACCGCCAGTTCCCTTTGTAGAAGGATATCGTGGAAATGATATTTCAATGGGCCACATAGAGATCAACATCAGGTACTGGTATATTAGCTCATGAGAGCTTTCTTTCATCTCGGACAGACCTAGCAATACCTGATAGAGAAACACCAAATTTATGCACAGCTTCAGGAAAGCTGAGGTACCTTAGTACGTTCCTAGCTCTTCACATTCAGATGATCATTGCTAGGTAACTTGGAAGAATACTGTGATTCAGCTTTGAAATAGGATGTGCATTTGTGATTTTCCTTTGCTCCATATAAATACAGCCACGCCCCGTAAGCATCCTGCAGATTCATTGACCCATTGTACCGTATCGCCATTTAGAAATCGTAACCTCCATTCATGATTCCCCTACATGTCCTCATGAAATATTGATCTCCTCTCCGAATGATTATCATCGTGTGCCTTATGGTTCTTTGTGTTGGAGTCCATTGGTCGAGGACTAACACCTCTCAGTTGGTTTGGGTCATCGAAAGGATTCCTCGCTGGTTGTAATCCCATCTCCTCATCATAACGTCTATCGAGCCCAGCTTTTGATCCTCCGACATATGGTTCCGGTTCGCGACTCAAGCTTCTACCACGAGGAGGACTTGAGAAGCCCGTAGGTGCCGTACCCGGTGCTCCCGCGACCCCCGAATTTCCGCCATGCAAGCCAAGTTCTTGTTCCTCAAAATATCCTCCAGGTCCATATGCATCCGCTTCAGTTCCAACTCGGGCATCCCAAGCGTCATCAGGATCAAGTGGACCAAAACCTCGATTTGCTGCGCGACCACGTACGTTGCTGCTCAATGGCTCCTCATATGCTCCTCCTGCTGATCGATTATTGCGATTTTTCAACCCATTAACTTTGTCCTTTACCCATCCGACCATTCCACCTTGTCCCGACCCCGATCCCCCATACCTATCGGATCCGCCGCTAAAGGGGTTGTAGGATGATAAAGATGGTTGTGGTAAGCCTAATCGTCGTGCGCGCAAATGTGTATATATGACCCAGGCAGCTCCTCCGATGACAGCGACGATTAAAACTATGACAAAGAAGGCCCCTACGCCTGAAATATGTGCCATTGTTGAAGATTTCAACGGTTGCCCATATGGGAAGTAATTCTATCGTTGGTGGTTGAAAGTTATGTTATTCCTTTGAGTTATGATTGAAGGGCAGAAGGTAGGCAATCAGGCCAACAAGAACCGATGAGGCAGTGATAGTGTGTTTATCAGGGCAAAAAAATGATAAGGTTCACGCCGTGACAAGGAATAGCCTGACACCAATTTCAGTGAGATGAGAAGGTACGTTGATGATTGAAATAAAAGTTTGATGTGAATAGCATATTGTGGTTTTCTTTGAATAATTCAATTGACAGGTAGGTACCTACAGAAGTAAGGTGTACCCTGTGGAGGAATTTTGAAACGAGAATGCTCAAAGCAAAACAATTGTTTGGAGGTACTACGCAAAGCAACCGTGAATCATAGCGGGTGTTTTTGATTCTCAGATCACGTGACACACCCCCACATTGATGATTGATGTGATATGATGTGAATTTGAAGTGATTGGAGTGAGGACTGCTTGCAACCGAATTTACCCCGCCATTCAAATAAGCAATGCATTATTAAACAACTTCTGGGCATTCTCTATATTTCAATGCAAAAATCGCTAGTCGTCGGTCGGTCATAGGATAAACCTTTTAATGCTTTATAAAAGAATATAAATCAAGACTTATTAATTATAGGGGTATACAAGATCGATATCATAGGTAACTAGTAGGTACTTCATTTTAACCTGATCAATTGGCAAATACTAGGTAGGTATTCAGTTTATCTACTTGAATTACCCTCCCGATGAGGATGGATAAATACATCTAGAGTACTCGGTCCTTGTCGGTAGGGACATCTTTCCAAGGCTCAATAGAATGAATGAATGAATCTGGCTGAATCCTAGGAAGTTTTATGAAGTCGAATAACATAGAGTCTTAACTACAATCAGTAAAGAAACCTTGATGCTACTCGCTCAACTCTCTTTGATTCTTTATCCTCATACCCAATACCCACCAACAGTAAGACATCAACTGCATCAACTACGTAAGACTTTGTTCATAACCACTATGGTGCTATTCCTTTATAAGAAAGGTCATTCCACTTTCAAAGATTCAACCCATAAGTACAGAGCAAAGTATCTCGGGATCAGATAAGATGAATCTAAATAATCTGCAGAAGCTAACTACCCATCCCATGTATTTTTAATCAGATAATGTGATGATTCCTGCAGATGGAGGCATGATTCTTCAGGGATAGACTTTTCCTTGTACATTTTGCTGCAACTCTTATCAAATGAAATTCCCTCTCAAGATCAGATAATATTCTGAAATTTGAAAAAAAAAAAAGGGCAAAGAGGCATTATTTCATATTAACAACCCGAGGCTTGGAAGGCTCTACATCACTTCTGTCACATTGAATTTTATCATTTCCCTCTTTCTATTTCCATTTCCATTTCCATTTCTATCTATTAATTAGTTTATCCAGCGCAGCACCATCACCACTTCACGAATCACGATCACCGCCTCACCCGGAAGGAATAATATTCCCGTATCACCGTCATCGAGTTCTCTGTCCCACTCATCAACCCATTCCCGCCTACCTAGCCTTAAATTCTTTCGCGAGAAAGTCCCCCCCCTCCTATCTAGGTCTGTCCCAGTGGGGCCTGACAACGTGCAACAATGCCTCCTAGTTGCATATGACATCCCGCCCACCTAACGTTTCCGCAACAGGCGGCAGAAGTAGGGGATCGGGTGACTCTTCTGACTGTATCATAGAAGGCTCAGCTGTTCCTCTTTCTTTTCTCCAGCCCTCTACGTCAAATAATATTGGCAGGCAACCATCACACGTCGAACCGCTCCATCTGTACAATCAGAGTTCGAACCACGGTCGTTATCATTCAACAAACCACAACGACGACGACGAGGAAGAACTTTATCCTGAATCTACCTCGAATCTTCTTAGGCGACATATACGAGATTCCACAGAGACAGAAGACGATGCGTTACGGCACAATTCAGCAGATGACAACACAAACTCAATAAACATTTTTCAGAGAATACATAAACTGATGTCCAAGACACCCCTCCTATTACGTTCCGCGCCCGGCTTCGGCACAGGATCATATGGAGCAGCTCCTGTGGGCGCATCGACAGAGAACAGTGAAGAAGAGGATGAGCATCTTGCGAGAAGGGAGAAGCGAAAGAAGAGTTCATCGGCCCTAAGGAATCTGAGGAATTCTAGCAGCGCTGCAACATTCAAGTCAACCAGGTCGAATTCGGGCCCATCCTCATCTGCGAACCTCGATACTGCCCCGCGGATAAGACACCGTACAGGAAGTAATACACAAAATGATGGAGCAGACGAGTTGGAGCTAGGGGCTTCCCCGATCAAAATTCGTGATGCGGATTCGGATTCCATCTCAACAGATGAAGATACAGAGGAAGTCTTGCTAGAGGAAGACGAACAGGGAGAGGATGCATATTCGATAGATGATGAAGATCCGCCGGACAATTCTCCTTATGCCCAAGTTCGCGCTTCAGTGTCTGCCATCGATAATACAACTCTGTCAATCAATACCCCTCGAATGTGGGCACTTTCTATGCTTTTTGCTATCCTTGGTTCTTCAACGAATCTTTTCTTTTCTTTACGATACCCTAGCGTTTCCATTACACCTGTTATCGCCCTTCTACTTGTACATCCACTTGGATTGATGTGGGATGGATTTCTTAAGCGACGGGACGACCCTGACGAAGAGTTTGTGGATGGGCATCGGATTCCAGCTCATGAAGGTAATGAACGTAGTGACAAATCTGCGACTGGTTTACGGCGATTGAGGTTATGGCTGGCACAAGGAAAATGGAATGAAAAGGAGCACAGCTGTGTCTACATCAGCAGCAATGTCTCCTTTGGCTTTGCATTTGCAACCGATGTCATTGTTGAACAGACACACTTTTACAACCAGAAAGTTGGTATCATGTACCAAGTCCTCCTCATTCTTTCTACACAGATATTGGGATATGCTTTTGCGGGTCTCACTAGGCGTTTCCTGGTTCGACCTGGTGGAATGATATGGCCTGGAACTTTAATGTCGGCTGCCATGTTCACAACATTACATAAGGAGGAGAACACAATTGCTAATGGTTGGAAAATTACTCGATGGAAGTTCTTCTTCGTCGTTTGGTTCTGCTCCTTTATATTTTACTTCTTACCTGGTTTGCTGATGCCTGCATTGAGCTACTTCAGTGTCATTACCTGGTTTGCACCAAAAAATGTAATCGTTGCGAATTTATTTGGTGTGGCTTCAGGACTTGGCCTCTTTCCTGTAACCTTCGATTGGGCTCAAATTGCCTATATTGGATCACCACTTTTAACTCCATTCTGGGCCGCGATGAACGTCGTTGGAGGTCTCGTCATTGTGATGTGGATCCTTGCGCCTATTGCCTACTATAAGAATATCTTCTTCTCATCTTATATGCCAATTTTGTCCTCATCCGTTTTTGACAACACTGGAAAGATATACGACGTCAGCAAGATCTTAACTTCTGATTTCTTGTTTGATAAGCAGGCATACGAGAATTACAGTCGCGTGTTCTTGCCCATTACTTATGTTCTCAGTTATGGACTTCAATTTGCTGCTCTTGCCTCACTCTTGACACATACTACATGTTGGCATGGTAGAGATATTTGGAAGCAATGGAAAAGGTCCCTAAAGGAGGTTGAAGGGGAAGTTAAACCTGCATATGATCCTGTACCTGCATCAAATGGAAACGGCCACAGAAGAGGGGCATCAGCAAACAGCCACAGGCTGAATCTTGAAAGGACTCCTTCATACATGAATGATATCATCAGCCAAGAAGATGTGCATAACAGGCTTATGAGAAGGTACAAGGATGCACCAATGACTTGGTATCTAATCACATTCGTATCTATGCTTGCAGTTGGGATGTTTGTCGTCGAATAGTAAGTCCTCGTTTACCTTTGTATCAAAATACAATATTGACGCCATTGGTAGTTACCCCGTGCATTTACCGTGGTACGGCTTACTCCTTGCATTGGGAATCTGCACCGTCCTCTTTATCCCAATAGGAATAGTCATGGCCATTACAAATCAACATAGCAGTATATATCTCATTTGCCAATTGGTCTGTGGTGCAGTGTTCCCAGGCCGTCCTGTGGCAAATATGGTATTCGTCACTTACGGATATATCTCTTCTTCTCAGGGGATTAAATTCTCATCCGATTTGAAACTTGGGCATTATATGAAGATTCCGCCTCGAATTTTATTTTCCGTTCAAATGGCCGCCACAATTGTTTCTTCAATCACACAAATTGGTGTTCTCAATTGGATGTTCGCCAACGTTCCAAATATCTGCACTCCTCAGGCTATCAACGGGTTCGTCTGTCCACTTGCCCGTGTGCACTTTAACGGAAGTATTCTTTGGGGAGTCGTAGGACCTGGTCAATTTTTTGGACCTAATGCCACCTACCGAGCTCTCGTATGGTGTTTCCCTATTGGTGCCATTGCGCCCATTATCTTATGGCTCTATTCCCGCAACAAAAAACACAGCATCGTAAGGAAGATAAATCTTCCCGTCTTATTTGGCTCTCTATCATGGATTCCTCCAGCCACAGGACTCAACTTTTCCGTTTGGGCACTAGTATGCTATCTCTTCAATTATGTCATCAAGAGAAGGCATTCAGCATGGTGGGCCAAGTATACAATGACTTTAAGTGCGGCATTAGATTCAGGGCTTGCATTTGGACTCGTAGTGGTATTCTTCGGTTTTGTCTATCCTGGATGGATGGATAATTTTAAGTGGTGGGGAACAGAAATTTATAAAAAGGGCTGTGATTGGCAAGCTTGTCCGTATAAAACGGTACCTGAAGGTACGCATTTCGGACCGGATACTTGGTAAATAGGTACATAGAGGTGATGTATATGCTAGATGGGGTTCAAAACTTTCAGACATCGCGACCTATATGTGTATTGTAGATAGATACCTTGTAGAGATGGCAAGAGTGGTGCAAAAATATATGAGTTTAGTTATGGTGCATTTTGGGTTATGATTATATTTATCTCTAGATCGATTTATTCATCTCATTAGTTGTTACGACGGTATTCAGTTATGACTAAAACCCGCATCACATGACTAAACAAGGGGTCACGTGGTCCCACTCGTCCCACCGATTTAAATCGAGGGGAACGGTGGGACATACGGCACGAAGGTCTATATAATCAAGATGGATTTCCCTTGTATACAGATTCATGCTCAAGATCAATCATTTAGTATACTCTACTATTAGTTATGAATTGCATTATTGTCATTACTTTAAGTCCCTGTTTGATGTTTAGTTATAAACTACCTCAAGAGTCTAGAGCACTTCCACATGATCTAGACGGCAAACCTCGTAATATCTCTAAACGAATATTGGAAAAAGAAAGAAATGACATTTTAGCATCGTTTGTTACTAGGTCAGGCTACTAAAATCATGTAGAAGTGCTCTATTTTTCGGTTGGAGGTTATGCCTTTGTTGATAACCTCGGCGCTCCGAGGCATCTATTACGAGCGAGCTGCCTACCTTATTA